AAAATCAATACAATTCATACAGTATGGAATTAAACAAAAAAAGCTGTATTGAACTGGCAGTATCATTACACATGATTGTCTGTACAAGAGAAAGAACAACAAGCAGATGTTCCTTAGTATGAGATATGCCCTCTCCTTACTGCTAAGGTTGCTTTGCACCGTCTCTCCATACTCAGCTCCAGATTGTCCAACAGGTCTTGAGGTAAGAGTGGCCATTCCTCAATCAGCATCTGTTTTAATTGTTGGGTGTTCCCTGGAGGATGTAATCGTGCTGCAAAGCATCTCCCAAAGCATCCCACACATGTTCTATGGGATTAAATCGGGGGAGTGTGCTAGCCAAACCACTCGAGTGATATCTTCACTTTCCAGTAGCTTCTGAACAGCAGGAGTCCAGTGTGGCCATGCATTGTCATCCATAAAAACGAAGTCTGCTCCAATGGCACTTCGGAACAGACGCACATGGGGAAGGTTCACCTCCTGACAGTAGCGATCTCTGGTTGCAGAATCTTGTCAGAAACATGGAGCTCTGTTTGCACGTTCAGCATAATGCTTGCCCAAACTAGAAGTGTAGGACTGTGGTAATGATCTCTTTCCATGATTTTACTGGGATGAAACTGTGTCCTTACCTTTCTCCAAATCAACTGGGACTGAAAATCGCTTGTAGGACACTAAAACGACTCTCATCTGTAAAGAGGACATGATTGATGAGATGTCCAGGTTTTGTTCTCCTTGCACCACACTAAACACAAACTTTCAAAGGGATGCAGCATTCAGGACAGCGGGCAAATAGGCTATCTTTATGAAGGCATCTGAACACAGTAAACTGCAACACTTGTTGCCCCATTGCTGTACACAGTTGCTGAGCTATGGCACTTGCTGACTTATTTCGGGCTCCTTTCGCCTGCAGGACAATATGTCAGTCATCCACTGCAGTTGTTTTCCTGAGACAGCCACCAGCAATCTTTCCAACAGCTGTACCTATGGTTTGAAAGGTTATCCAAGCACGCAAAGTGACACTTTTTTTATTCCGAACTCTTCAGTTACACTGGTCACATTATGCCCCTCCTACAGCTTTATGAGCATTCTTCTACAGGTTAAGTCATCCAGGTGATTTCTTCTAGCCACATTTCATGAAAGAACTCTCTTGCACTTGCAGCAAATGTCTTTAGTTGCGTCTCCGTTCTTCCTTTTATTGTAGTCTTGATTGCACGGGTTTTGCGTATGCTCACATCGCCTGTGACGTTTTGTTCCTGACATTTGCATATGCTGACCTTTCTATTGAATTGCATGTTCATTGTACCGATCGCAAGAACCCCTTTTCTGCAATTTCATGGCTATCTGATTAAAATTTACATAGTTGCTTAAATTTTGTGCACCAATGTAATTTCAGGATATGTTGGAAATTAATGGCCTCTAGAAAAATATACATAAGGAATATTTCTCAATGTCTTCAGATCTCGATTGCTAAATAACTGAACTTTTTTTTAAGAAAAAATTTTAATAAGATGAAGAAGGTAGAGGACATTCTTTCAGTTTGCTTTTGTACTGCCAACCACAGAATATAAATGCTGATCAATGGTGGACAGCCAATTATTTATGTCTCTGGGTTATACCAGGAAGGATGTCCACATTAAGCTCAAAACTGTGGATTATCCGAAAGCAGTTAAAACACACACAGGAAAGAGAAGTAACCCATATGCTAATAAATTGGAAAATATTTACAATTATTATTACAATTTACCTATATTTTCAATAGCTTTGGGGAAAATTATTTATTTATGCAAAGTAAATCGGCGGTTTTTTTTTTTTTTTTTTTTTTTTTTTTTAAGAATGCATTGAAATTAGCAGAAGAATAAACATTATTAGCAGTAAAGAAAATAAGTTTAAATGGAAGTGAAGAACATTTACAAGAAAACTTTTGGTAAAGAAGTTGGTTAAAATTTTTTCACAAAAGTATGCAAAGTTGTATGTTTCATATATTCAGGATTATGCATAGTTGCAGATAAAATTAATTCTGAATACTGTGACGTCGTTTGTTGTCAAGAGAATTTTTATCATCCTTTTTGTACTTACACACTTTAGCTGAGGAAGATGGTTTGATAGTAAAATCATCAATACTAGTCCTGAAAAATTTGAAAATATAATGCTAATTTTTGTTGTTTGACTTCTAAATTAATCCTTTTGGTATTTTTCATTGACTGTTTTGCTTTGCTTCAAAAGCTTTGTGTTAGTTATTTTTCCATCATTCAGCAATATACAGTTTTCTCTTTTTTTCAAAAAAAAAAAAAAAAAAAAAAAAAAATACAGACCTAGTTAATCCATAACCTGGTTAACCTGGAGTTGACTGTATCATTTTCTTTGATAGAAAGCATTGGCAATGCAGCATTTTCAAATAAATATAGCACACTCCCCCTCTTAATTGCATTCCAGTCTATATATTGATAACTATTTCCCTAATTTTTATCTCAGCAGTTTATTTTTCTGGAGAATGTTAGCAAAATGTTTTCAGTCAGCAGTTAGGATGCATATTCCCTACCTCAAGTAAACTTTTAGTGGTTTGCTGTCTCAAATAATATAAAATTCTGGTGACTTGTCTGTGATTAGCCAAAGTTGCAAGCAAGTCACCACATTTTCATTTTGTTTTATGTTTTACCAGTTTGAACAAATGACTAAAATGCATCAAAAGAATTGTGGAATGGGAATTGGTGGAATGTGAAAATTTCAGAATGTTTCATCCTCACCACATTTATCACTCTTCATAAATTCTAGTGCCATATATTAATTTCTTTGTTCATTGGCGAACACACTAATTTTTCTTTTGTCTCTTGGGAAATTTCGTTCTGTTCCTATGCCTTTTGATTTAAAATGACATATGGTGGAAACTTTTGATCATTATCAGTAGTGCATTGCATCACAGACAATTGACAATTAGCACTGATGCATCAGAGCAGATATGAGATGTTTTTATTGCATGTGCTTATAATCACGATTTTATAGTAAGTAAACATTGCTAATGTAAATTGTAAAGCTTATCAAGAAAGACTGGAGTTTCATTATTATTAAAAAATAAAGATTGTATACTTACGTTTGTATAAACTTTTTATTTATGTACATGAAATTCTAGGCATACTACAGAACTAAAACACTGGTATACTTCTGTTTTTACATATCCCCAAACTGTTGCCTTTTACAAGTTACTAATATCTAAATCTTGCAGTTATTTCCAACGTATCTGATGGGTTTTTTTTTTTTTTTCTGTTCTGTTTATCTGTCCATTTAATCTGATCATGTGTCACTGAAGTTTAATTAGCTTCCACTGAAAATGTGCAGTAACAGCTAAATGCTTTCCATCAGAATAAATATAGATTATTAAAGAAGGGTGATAACTATTACTTTTTTTAAAAAATTAATTTCTGTTTCCTGAGGCATTTGAATTTCTCTGGTTTTCAGTTCATAGCTTGTTGAGTAATGGTTAGTCCTTTAATATATGTTTTGGTATCAAATTTCATCCTGCAGACATCTTCCTTTCATAAACTATGAGAAACATTCAGTTGTTTATTTATAGGGAAATATGATATTGCAATCATTTCTCTTAAGTTGAATAGCTGCTTTACTAATAGTGAAATGTCATTACAAAGCTCTTGATTTTGTGTTGTTCTGCATATGCAGTAATACTTTGTTTCAATACATCTTATTTAGGTTTTGTTTTACAAGACTTTGATGTACAGAAGGGTGTCAAGCAAATGCATCCTGCAATTCTGACATACTTTGTTTTTACATTTAAATGGGAGTAATGCATATTAAGAATAAAAAAATATTACATTTCTTTTACCTCTGTTTTACCAGTTTATATACTTCTGGATAGTGTACATTTTCCTCTCTCTCTCTCTCTTTTTTTAAAGTTTGTGCTTCTTTGGATTGTTTCTGAAAACTTGCAGTTCCATTCCATGTGTATCATAAGTTGTCAAATTATGTTAAGCACTTGGTTAATTTTGAATGCACTTAAATGAATAAAATTTTATCTTTTTAAGTAACTTTGGGTTTTGCCTTTCATCCAGTCTTTTTTCCCACTTTAGACTGCCAGATTCTATATCTTAAGACATCAGTTTACTTTTTTCTATTTGAAATGTAATTCATATTAATGTAATTATTATTATAATCACACAAGTGCATAAAATATTCTTAGAAAGCAGATGATTTTAAGTTTTGGTTTCAAAAAAACTATAAAAATATCATGTCTTTAATTTGTAAGATTTTTTTTTTTTTTTTTTAGGTTACATATAAAACATAATATAGTCTTTGTATTTACTGGATATTTCATATTTTTGTTCTTCAACTAAAATGCCATAACACTTATATCATAATAAATTGATTTTATAACCTGTTAAAATATTTAGAAATGTACTCACATGGTTTAAAAAGTGTTTCAAACTAACCATAAGCTGTCAATGGTAATATATGACTTTGATACAAATATGATGGTTAAAGCAGGGACTGTTATTCAAAATCTTGTTTGACTTCATTAACCTTAAATCACTGAATGATTCCCCTTGACAACAGTATGATTTTTGCCACTTTGAAAGTCTTGTACATCTTTAATTTTTGCAAACATCATTGTGCAGTGATGAGCAATGTCTTATATTAGCAGTAAATATACTTCAAGTATCAGTGTGTAATCTATATATATGCATGATGATATATTTTAATATATATATATGCATGATGATTAAGAACTCAAATTTTTCTGTCAGTGCTCTAGGGTTAAATTATTATGGTCATTATTTGTTTTATTCTTTTGTAAAACGCTATCAAAACTACACTGTAGTAAGAAGGAAATTTTAGTGGCTAATAGTTATATGTTGGTTGGTTTCGTGAAATTTTTTAAACATTAGCCCTATCTTCTCTTTATTTCTCTCCATAATATCGTAATATCAGTATGGACATGAATTTCATTACTTTGTCGCAATTTAATGTATTCTGTAATTTTCTCAATTTTATAGGCTTCCAAAAAATATGGCTGGTGGACATTATCTTCTTGGATCTATGACATTCATGAAGGATGACAATGCTAAAAAAGTTGTAAGTATTCAAAAATTGTCCTTCATAAAGCTGTATGTTAATTGTATTGTTAGTAAAGTTAAATTTTGATTAGTGCACATTGTTACTTTTTTCCCAAAATAAATATTAAAATTTTTATGCATACTAAAAATATTGCAGCAAACTCCTCAGGTATGATAAACTGTTACAATTTCTGTAACTTGATCTGGAAAATACATTTCATTTTTTCCCAAACATTATTGAAAAAAGAATATTTTATTGAAAGAAGTGAAATAGTTTAATAAAATTAACAGTGAAAATGCATTAAGTTTTATTAGATGGGATAAAGTACTGATAATTGAAAGAAAGGTAGGAATATTAAATTTATATCAGTGTTAGAAATTTTGTATTTCTTTTCTAGTAGCCTTTTGTTATCATTTTCTAGATACTAATTATTATATAGACCAAGTGCTCATTTGTACTCACATTGTAACATTTTCTACTATGCATAAAAGGTCTTCATGCCAGTTGGGAATGATATGCATAATTTTTTACAGCACATCATATAATGATAATTGTGTAATTTGGCATTCGAACATATGAATTGGACTGAAGAAAAATAATTATGTATTTTATTGTGATATGAGTGCCTCACACAGAAAAACTGGTTTAAAGATTTTGCCTAAAATGTTCAAACTTTTCAAATTTATGCCATTTGGTATATGAGCTGACTAATCACAGTGAAGCAACTATCAGTTGATGGTTTTACTATCAGCTATACATTTACTCATACACAACTTTCCCTTCCCTGATTGGCTGTGGTTTAAACCCTGCTAAACATGTGTGAATGGACTTAATGACTTTTATGCCTTAAACCACAAAGCTTTATGATGATAAAACTATTGCCTGGCATTAGTGCTCGAATGCATTTAGATGACATTTTGTGTCCTCATCTAAGCACAGTAAATCAAGCATTCATTTTACTCATTAGCTTCAAGTATGTGTTGTGAAGCAATATAAATTTGCAAATGGAAACAACTGTGCTCAAGAACTAGCCACCTTCAGTTAACCAGAATCTTGTTCATTGTGCTTAAATTTCTATGGGGTCTGGTTGCTAAACCACTGGTAGTGACATCACAGTCTCAGCAACACGTAACAGCATTTTCTTTTAAAGCAATACTTGAAAGTCAGTGGAATAAATTCTTAGAAAATGAATAAGAGATAGTATCCCTTGGAAAGTCCAACATAAAAGTATAATTCCTCTTAATCTGATAGCCATCTCAAACCTACCATTATGAGTTTAACTTCAAGCTAGTTTGTACTTTGTCCCATGCATGGTATTTATATTTTTAACCTGAAGTGAATTAGAAATATTTAAGAAAACTTTATGTACTTAGTTTTTCTCCTTTTAGCTCTAAAATAGTGATAAAATTCAACATATTAGCATCTGGTTAAATATTACTTATCAAAATTAGAACTTTACTGATCATTGCCAATCTTAGGAAATATTAGTATTTTGCAACATTATATTAAGTGGTATATAACATAGCTTTGAACATAATAAATGGGTTTTGAAGAATTTGATTAAATGAGCACTTTCTAGAGTATGTTCGAGGGAACTACTCTGATATGCGCCCTCAAGTCACCAAATTTCTCGCCAACACGCGGTCATATTACTATCTAAATTTTTTGTCTGCATTTCGAACTTTAAGCCTAAAATGTTTTCAAAAACGCGGTTTTCGCACATGCAAAAACTACGTTTTGAACACACGATTTAAGCTAAAAATCCGGAACAAAAACAAAAATTTAGATAGCAAAAACGTAAAGTTTCTAACCAAAAATATTTGACGAGAATCCTTGTACACAGCGACATGTTTTAACTTGAAAAAACATCTACGTATGGCACAACGTAGGCAACGAACGAATCTACGAACTACGCACACCTCCCTTTAATAAATTAACATAACAACAATAAATTTCAAAGAATACCATGTACACAATATCCTGTTTAAACTTAAAAAAAAAAAAAAATCTACGAATTGCACACTGTAGTCAATAAACGAATTTACGAACTATGCACACCTCGCTTTAATAAATTAACATAACAACAATAAATTTCAAAGAATACCATGTACACAGCATTCTGTTTCCAACTTTAAAAAACATCTACGAATTGCACAATCTACACTAAAAACAAATCAATACAAAAACAATGAAATAACATTCTACAAAATAAAAACAATAAAATAAAGTGCACTTACCATAATGAAAGCTTCTTTTAAAAGCAGGAATATCAATTTCAAACTTCACAAAAACAAAAAACACAAACACTTTTTGCAAATAAACTACAACAAATAACAAAACAAAGAAATTTTTAATTTTTCCCATTCAACACATCTTACAATTTCTAGAAATTTATTAAAAGCATCTTCTTTAATTTCATGACAGTAACGGAAAAACATATACACAGCCAAATAAAATTCAAAATCACATTTCCTATTATAAGTAGCTAACGAAGCTTTCACATGCCGCCACATACTCTATACTATTTATATGACAGCCAGACTCGCTATCCACAAAATTTAAACTATGGTTCACAAATAAATGTTCAAAACCTTCTTTTCTCAAATCCTTGTAGGATTTCCAGCCATGAGAAAAAATAGTTGTACCAGGCTCAATCCACTCTTTAATACACTGCATCTGCGTTTCCTTACTTCTATTATGCACAGCTACTAAAAATAATCTCCCAGACCCTCTTTCCATACCTCTAAATACCCACTGCCCCTCAACAGGATGGCCACGATGATATTTCCTTTTGCCGAATTTCGATTCGTCAACTTCCACCACTTTATCTTTCCCCCCATCTTCTCAGATACAGAGCATACAAAGTCCAAAATACATTCATTAATAAAATTTCGCCAGTCACACAATGTCTGTGAAGAAAACTTCCACGATTTTGCTATATCACATGCCTTCCTACGATTCAAAATTTCGAAAGTAACAATAAAAACTTCCTCCAATGTTAACTTGCAACACGAGAACAAGATCCAAACCTTAAACTCCGCTGACACCCACATACTTTATTAGCAACAATTTTACTGCAAACCCACACAAGTCTATCAGAAACACCATTTTTCGTCCGAGTTCTCATATCAGCTCCGCATTTCGGACACGTCAAACTCCGTTTTAAAAGTCCCGACTCCCACAGAAATTCCAAAAATACACTACGATCCCCATAAATACTTCTGTGAACAAAAGACTCATTAACAACTCCAACATCGTACCTTTTCATACTAAATTTACTCTGCACACAATCTAGAGTATGCGGCTGAAACCTTCCCACCACATCTTTCATCGCAACATAGGCCATTTCAAAAACACACACGACACGAACCAACTAGCAATTAAACTACTCCACCAAAAGATTTTTCAACGTCGACATGGTTGCCATACAACACGGAATCGGGCCAAAAACCAGCACAAAACACATATCGCCACATTTGGTGAAATTAGGGCGTTTATCAGAGTTGTACCAGTTCGAGAACAATTTCAAAAACTTTGTGAAAATGTTTAAAATGTTCACTTAATTTTTTCCATGTGCACATGAGTGATTATAGCCCTTTTTGATTATGCAGTTGCTTGACACTTGAAATATTCAAATCACCTGTATATGAATAAAAATATCACTTTACTTCCCATCAGGAATTCCAGTGCATTAAAAGATTGTCGAAGATTAGCTGATGACCTTTATAAAAATTTATAGAACTTTTCAGTAGTCTCTAATTGTAAATGCTTTAGGGAAGCAAAAATCAATGAATTTGGAATTTGTTGTTATATTAAGATTCTAAGGATCAGTATAATAAATTTTCAGAAGTAAGCAGTTTGATAATATGGATGGGTTGCTGCCTAACTATAACTATAGAACCATTTGAAACGTACATTCTAGGTGCTTCTAGTAACTGAAAAAACGATTTTGCTTGAAATATTTAGATTATCCTCTTAAGCATCGTAGATATAGTGTCAAGTATTTTTGTTGTTATTTATTTCTTTAGCAAGAGCATGTGGAAAGATTATATATGCATAGACTCCAACTACTACGGATTCTCCGTAGTTTCTACGGAAATTCATGAAAAACTACGAGCTACGAAAAGTATGGAAAAAACTACGGATTTTACAGAAACAAGAGCAGGAGAACCAGTACGCAAAACGGAACCAACTAATTCATCCGATGATTGGCTGAATACTCGTGTTATCATATATCACGTGTTGAGTGCGTTCCTAGTTTTGAAGAATTAGCCAATCGTAGATCAGTAACTCCAACCGTTAACGACTTATCAATAGTTCCACCCAATTGTCTGTCTCCCAGGTTCCTCGCTGATGCGTGTTTAGGCTGCATTCGGCTGCATTGTGTAGTTTACGGCGAGAGCTTAGCGTGTGTCTTGTGAACTGTGAATCAGGTGAAAGATTTTTAATCATAATGCTGCCTCGAACGAAGAAGCCAAAATTATCAAAGCAGAAGTTTAAAGATTCATATTCTTCAGAATTTCCATGCATTAAAGCGTCCGAAATTTCTGTGAATCACGCACACTGCAGTGTATGCAACAAAGACTTCTCAGTTGCTCATGGCGGAAAAGATGACTGTAAACGGCATGTGTTTTCTCAAAAGCATATAGAACTTGGCACCGTAAAATCTAAAGAAATAACAAATTTCTTAATAAAAGATGATGAAACAGATCCTATAAAAGCCGAATGCTATTTTGTTCGTTTTTTAATTGAACATAATCTACCGCTTTCTGTTTCGGATCATTCCAAAGAGCTTTTCAAAGCAATGTTTCCGGATTCTGCCATAGCAAAAAAATTTAGCTGCGGTCATACCAAAACTGCTGCTATTGTGAAAACGCTTGCAGAAAATACTGTTGCTGATATTATAAAATCAGTGTGCAGTACATCATTTTCTCTAAGTACTGATGGAAGTAATGATAACAATGATAACAAACTGTACCCATTGGTTATAACATACTACAGTAAAGAAAAGGGAGTGATAATTACTTCATTGATTTCTATTTTAGAATGCACGAATAATACAGGAGAAGGTATTTTTAATTGTATAAATGAAAACTTTAAAAACAAAGGTTTAGAATGGAAAAATTGCTTATCATTTTCTTCAGATAATGCTAGTAATATGATTGGAAAGTTTAAAGGTGTAGCATCATTTATCAAAATGCATCAACCAAGTATAATCACCCGAGGTTGTCCGTGCCACCTCTTGCATATAGCTGCAAAAAAAGCTACTGAAAAATTAATTGGCTCAGAAATTGAAATGTTGATAATAGATATATATTTTTACTTGGAGAAAAGTTCGAAACGGAAGCATAGCTTCAAAGTTGCTCAACAAATTTTGGGACAGAATGCAAAATCTCATAAAATTTTGAAATATTGCAGTACGAGATGGTTGTCTCTTTTAGAATCTATAACAAGGATTTTGGAACAGTGGGATGCTGTGATAAATTTTTTTGGAGATAAACCAGATAACAGTGAGAATGAAGGAAAGAGATTGCAAAACATTAAAAAAATTTTACAGTCACCGACCACCAAATTGTACTTGTTATTTTTGAAAAATACTTTGCCTTTGTTTATAACAGTAAATATTAATTTGCAACAACAAGCTCCTTATATACATAAATTGAGAAGAGAACTTTTTGAACTTTTAATGAATTTATTTGTTAGATTCGTAAAACCATCAGTAATTTCTAAAGAAAATGAAGATGTTACTCTAACGTCTATTCCATTTCAGAAGTATAGTAAACAAAAAGAAAATGAAAATTTAGTGATTGGTGCGGAAACAAGACTATATTTAAAAAATGCCAAGTTGAATGAAAGTGAAGTGAAATCATTTTTCAATTCTGTGCGAGCTTTTTTTGTAACTGCATGTTCATATATAATTGATAAATTTCCACTGAGTGATCCATTTCTAAAACATGCTGAAGTTGCTGACATCAACTTGAGAACTGAAGTCTCATTTTCATCTGTTCTTTACTTGATGAATACTTTTCCATCCATTATTGATGAAAAATGTCTTAATCAAGTAGAAATTGAATTTTCCATGTATCAAGTAGATGATTTGAAAGAAATTGTAGATTTGCGTATTGATATAGCATGGGGAGAAATTGCCAAATTAAAAAATATGAATGGGGTGTATTAAATACAAAGTATTGCCTTCTGTAATGCTTGCTGTCTTAATAATACCTCATTCAAATGCAGCTTGCGAAAGAATTTTTTCTATTGTTAAAAAAAATCAGACGGAATTTCGACCAAATTTAGGTCTTAAAACTCTTGAAGCAGTTTTGATTGAAAAAATAAATATGCAGGCAAATGAAGAACTGTGTTATAAAAAAACATTCTCAAAATCAGAACTTAAGCTTGCTAAGCATGCTACATATAAATCTTTGCATTCATAAATTATGCGTATTTTGTTTAATACTTATATGTATCATTCTTGGTTATTTAAATTTTATTTCCCTGTAGAAATCATATCCAGAATAAAAAGATATGATTTATAGCTTCTGATTTTTTCTATGATTAGTAGTGATTTGAAGTACTTTTTATTAGTGAATGCTTGAGGAGTTAAAAGAAAATTTCTAATTAAATGTGCATATAATTTACAAGGTATATTTTTAATTATTCAGTTTTATATGTATATGGATTTTAAATGTAATAAAATTGATTACAATTAATTATTAATTTAAAATTAATGAATGGTTAATTACAACATACGCTATGCGCACATTTTCAAAGTTTTAAAAATGTCGTTCGCGCGTTGACTACTGACAAGGTTTGCTGAAGGTTGGAGTCTATGTATATGTTTCACATGCAGTGCCTTTGATTTTCTTATTTTGTCATTTCAACTCTGTGTGGCCACGGATGCTAAAAGACATCGAATTAGGCATGGTTGTGTATATTACTGTCAGGAATAAAAAATGCTCTGACACACTTGTAGCCCTTTACAATTGTTTTTTGTTCAGCACATTAACCTCAATATCGTGGAACCCTTGCCTCCATCTGAGAGATATGCATAACTTGTTGCCTTTATTGATCATTTTTCTCACTGGCCTGAAGTGATGCTGTGTGACATATAACTGAAACACCTTTGCAAGGTTTGGAGACCCAAAAATTATAACTACAGAAACAGGGCAACAATTCGAGCCTTATTTAATTTCTTCACACAATTTTTTAGGAAGTCACTGCATTCGAACTTCTCCATGTCACTCATCTAGCAGTGGACTGCTTGCATGATTTCACCCGATACTTGAGCAAGATTTAGAGACTTCATAACACACAATGGAGCGAAACTGTGCCAATTGGTTATCTTGGACTATGCTCAGCTTTCAAAGAGGATCTTGGTAATATTTGTTCCAAGATTCTCTGCAAAACAACTTTGCCCTTACAAGGAGAATTCTGAGAGTCCTCTAACTGTGAGTTGCAAACACATCTTGCAGTTTTCCTCCAGCATCTGCAAAACACCATGCAGAAATTATCTTCAGCTTCTATGTATATTAAACCTTTATCATTTATACACCCCTCCTTAGAGATTTCCTGTCATATTTTTGTGGGCAGTGACACAGTAAAAGCATCCTTGACACAACCGTTCAATGTTCGCTATAACATTGTCATGCAGACTAGTAAACACTTAGCCTTGTGATGAATGGAAAATAGTATGTTATTAGAATTGACCATATGAAGCCTGCTTTCACTGCTCAGTGTGAGGTATCGTTGACTGCATTTATTTCATCATAGTTCACTGGAGCTGCAGTTATTCCTAGCAATAGTTCAACACTAACTCAGCAGATTCATTAAGAGATGTGCTATCTTTGCCTCTGAAGAAAACTACTCTTTGTGGTGCAGTAGTGAGATTTAATCCTCCCTGCATATAATGTGTTAGTACCTACAGTACTTTGGGGAAAATTCGGTGACAATTTAACCATAACTGGATATTTCAACTTGTTTACTTTCTAATTGTTTATTTAACAGCATTATTTCATATACTTTAAACTGTACCTCAACTGTAAAGAAATTGTATGTATGTAACTGTAATCATATCTGTATGTCAGTACCTAAAACTGTATCTTAACTGTAAAGAAACTATATGTATGTAACTATAACCAGATCTGTATTTCAGTGAGTAGTGTAATTCTGCTGATGCTTGTATGGATCCTTTCAATGAGTTCTTATTAAATACAAAAGTTGTTATGTTGCGAAAGTTACTAATGATTTAATTAGCTAAGCAAATTAATTCTCTTCTAATATAATGACATGCGTAGTGATCTGGTACAGTGTAGTGGTGTACCTGATGTAACACAAATGTAATAATTTCTCAAGTATTTTCACTTCAACTGAAGCCACCATATCGTCTGTGATCCCAGATGTGCCACCAGAGTGGGAATTATCATGGATGTTGTCATGGCCAGCTTTGATGTCTCTGACCCACTTATGCACTTTGCCTTCTCTCGTGGCAGTAGATAAAGATAGCTCTGTAGACTTCACAAATCTGCCAGTGAATGTCTGCCGCAGATAGTTTTCTTGCTGACAAAAATCTTATCACTGACCGTACCTCACATGTGGTGGGTGATTCAATAATCTTGAACATTTTAAAGACGTCGAACAAACCATACAGGTTACCTACGCAGCTACAACTAAGCATAGTTGTTTCCAAGGAATGCCGGGACAAGATGCAAGTACTTTTTGCGCCGCTCACGCCACCTATTAGTGTATACAACAAAACGGCCCTTACTTAAAAAACACACTATGTAAATGTAACTTACTTTTCATTGGTGGCTTATTTCATATTGACTAGTATCTCAAAAAATGTTTAAAGAACTAGTAAATTCTGCTGAAACCTTACTGTCCAGTCTATCCTTGTACTGCAGAACGTATTGAAAAATAAACCAAATTTTTAAAAACTTAAGATATGTCTTTGTCCTATCCATTTCAGATCTTGTGAATTAAACATTGCCTTCTTTTATAGTTCTGTGGTCTATTTATTGCATTTGAAAGCAGTTTTAGGCATAAAGTTGTTAATAATATCATAAAACATATGTTAAGACAGTGCAGAAATAGCTTGTTTTAAATCTAATGATACATATGAATAGTCATATGTATAGTATGATGATAGGTTTTCAAGTCTGAGGATTCTAAGAAAACGTTTCATCATTTGTGTAGTAGTAATTAAGAAAATCTTGTGCTCTGAAATATTTTTTGCCATAATGCACCAACTATCAAATGGGAAAAACTTTTAAAATAACTAATTTTGTCTGAGGTACTACTTTGGAAATAACTAGGTGGCTGCATGGAAAATTTCTTGCTTTTACGCCTCAGTGCAATAAATACAAATTTCTGAATTACGTATTATTATAGTTGAAACACATGAATTCTTGTCATCCTGAATATGTATTAATCTATTAGATATTAAATTATCCGGAAATATGTGAAATGTCTTGAAAAATAAAAACTGATTTTTAATCCTTTGTAGGATGTGTACCCCATTAGATATATTATACCTGAACTTCCAAAGAAAGCATCTAGTCCTAAGCGAGTTGGAGAAAAAGAAAAAAACGTGGTTGAAGAGTTTGCAGAAGAAGTAAAACAATTGAAACTAACTTGGATTGCAAAGTAAATGCTCATTTTTTTACTTCATAAATGTAAATTTCTTATTTTCTAAACCTTAAAGCTGTATTTAAAGTAGAGCGTTTTTAGTTATTTACTTTTATTTGGTAGAAAATTTTTTAATGGTATAATAACTTTTTTTACATATGATATCTATATTTGTCCAACTTTGAATATTAATAAACAGTATTATGAATATCTGGGTTTCTCATGTAGTGTTTATTGAGATTTTGTAAATTGTTATGCAATATAAATTTCTTTTATTTTGGTACCAAGACTGAGTGTAATACAAATAAAGCAAAACACAGGCTGATTCGCAATTGTTTACTGACTTGATTTTGCTGCAAGGGAATAATCAATAGTTTATATGTTTATCTGATGAAATAATAATGTTTGGAAGGAAACTGATTTATTTTTCATCCACCATGCCACACAGTGCTCACATTAAACTGTGTTGTTATCTCAGTACACAGACTGTGAACTGACATTGAACTGGGTTAAGAGTACTGTGTGACTGGTTGAACTTCCTGTACCGCCATTAGAGGCTTAACAGGGCTTAGTCGAGCTATTTAATTAAAGAAACATTCAGATCTAAAACAAGGCCTAAATCAGGCCCATTAAGCAGTAGAACTACCACCTTACTAGCTGAAATAACTTAAAATAGAATAAACTAAAATATGAACTTAAAGTCTAGGAGCTGGTGAGATTTACCTGCTATACCAACGAAAGCACATTATTACACGCTTTGTAAAATATAACACTTGTTACTTGCATGCATAAAAATACGTTACATATACAAAGAAATAAAGTAACAGAATATCGTAAACATTCTACTTTTCCTTTAAACAGACAGGGAAATTTTTAAAAACAATCAATATATTAATTCATTTCATTTACAGATACATATATTATGAAATTTCACAATTTCAATGTAGCACTGTATTTTTACATAGATCCTTTAGAGTATTAAATTTAGCAATATCCGGAATAAATCTTAATACAATATTTTCATAGAAGAGCATCTAAACAACAGGTGTTCAATATCAACAATACTCATGCCACATGGACAGGCACAATTTTTAATCGAAAACCTATTATAATAAAAGGGAAAGTGTCCATGATTAATTAAAGCTTGGTTTAGATACTTGTCACTTAGGCATCTTTTCTCACTTATAATTGAGATTAAATTATAAGTGAATCTTCCTTTAGAATCTGGGTCGTTCCATTTTGCTTGCCATAGAGTCAAACTTTTTCTTTTCAACAAGGATTTTAAACTGTCAAAGGAAGTCTTTACTTCAAAATCAATAATTCGATTTTCAGTGGCAGCTTTTGCCAATCTATCTGCTAACTTGTTACCAATGGTACCAATATCACTCTTCGTCCAAAAGAGTTTAATACCTCTGAAAGCGCTAAGAAAAATGAGCATGCCTTTTATCTGTTTAATTAGATCGTTACTTGGACAAACACCCGTAATTGAAACAATTGCACTTTCGCAGTCACTATAGATTTCTACAGGATTTATCGGAGTATTAGAAATAAGCCAATACAAGGCCTCTCGTAAGGCCACTAACTCTGCCTGATAGACAGAGGCATTGTCAGAAAGTCTATATTTCCTTTGTAAGCTTAGTTTCTCATCTGAAGACACACAAAAGGCTGCCCCCACATGACCATTTAATTTAGATCCATCTGTAAAAATCGTGTAGCCTGCCATATTGGGGAAGCCTTTATGCCAATTCAACCGTTTCAACAAAGCTGGATGAATGGCTAAACCTTTTTCAAAGTCAAAGTCTTTAACTGGGAATATCTCACTGAAACAATCGACAGTTTTATTACCAGCTTTTAATTTAAAGATAGCATATTCTTTTTCCGCTAATATATCGATCGGAGGACATCCAGCCAAAATCTGAAGAGCTACTGTGGAAACAGTTCTAAAACACTTAGTAATCCTCAGTAAAGCGATTCTTTGAATTTGCAAAATTTTGTTATGCATTTGTACCGTTCCAGTCCACCATGTGCCACATGCATACAAGATCTTTCTCTCAATAGCTCTTTTATATAAACTCTTAAGAACTTTACCTTGAAGATTCATTTTTGGCCCTACCTTGAAGATTCATCGTAGGCCCATATTGCGCAACATTTGTTTCACTCGAACAACTGTTTCGGATAATTTTTTTCACTAGTTTACTATTGAAAGAAAAAGACGTGCGACTTTTTCCTTCCTTTCCAAAAAAATTGCAAGTTGTTCATTTTCAACCAATCAACTATCAGCTTGTTTTTAATGGTGAACCAGTTCTCCCTGTGTTAACTCCAAAGCGTTCTATGGTGATTCACTGTTGTGACAAAGCAAAAAAATTGTTCTAAACAGTTGTGCTTTCGAAACAAACTGCCGTGTGGTAGCAGCCTTACTAAGTATATTAAGAATATGGGTTTATTCCATCTTTATTTGATCTAGGTGAGGTATAAAAGTGAGCTTTTCATCGATCCTAATGCCCAAATATTAAATATTCTTTAAAACTCTAATTTGTTCTTCATACAGTTTGCACCTAGGATGTATTGATCTAGTATAAGTTTTGGCAATACCCAAAAGAAAGCTCTTCTTTGCATCAAATTTGAGTTCAACATGGAAAGACCACTTCTCCAATTCTTGAGTGGCGAAACGTAAAGCTTTATCACTAGTATGGTGACCACTTCCCGTGGCCAATAAAACAAAATCATCAGCATAAGCTTGTATACTAACATTTTGGGGTAAGGTTATGTTTAAAGCTATATTAGCAATAAAATTCCACAAAAGTGGACTAGATATTGAGCCTTGAGGACAATCCCTTTGGTAATTTCTGTGATGCCACTTATTACCATCATATAATGAAACTTTTCTTTCAAAAAGATATTTCTTGGACATTTTATATTTTTTAATTCCTTTAATAAAATTGACCACCAAACATTGTTGAAAGTGCTCTTTTCATCTAAGGGATAAAATTGCAGTATGTTTACCATTCCTTCTATTTCTAAGGATGTCAGAAATTAGATTATATATAGCCTGGGTAGTACTTTTACTTGGCATAAAACCAAACTGATTTTATTTAAAAGATTACTTGATAATAAATAATACTGTAACCGTTGTGTCATGAGTTTATCCAGCACCTTGCCCCAGGAAGTCAGTAAGCAAATGGAGCGAAAAGAGGAAGGATCTTCTTTATCCTTTCTTTGTTGAACAAAACCAAATCAGCCTTTTTCCAACATTCAGGAAAAATCCCCCTTCGAAGCCATTCATTCAGAATAGCTACAACGAACTTTTTATTACATTCAAAGATTTCTAAAATAATATCCATTGTCAGGCCATCTTTACCTAGAGCTTTTCCTTTATTTAACTTTTTAAGAGTAAATTTCACTTCATCCAAAGTAAAATCATAATCAGTATCACAAGGAAAATGATATTGTAGGAGGTAATTTATTGTCTCATCTATATTCTTAGTATAAGACCCATCTTGATATTTCAAAGAGGAACTTTGTAAAGGTGGTTTATATTTATTAACAGCAATATAGTAAGGAATGCCAAACGCTTGATGAATATTCAAAGTGTCACATAGTTGTTCCCAAGCACAATTTTTACTAATGTTGATTTCTCGTTTATATTCAGTTAATTTCATCTTATATTGAATCTTTAACAAATTTTTCTCTATACGATTGTAACACCTCTGAAATGTTCTTCAATACAGTCGAGTTTGACTTCTTAAAACAGCCAGTTTTTTGGACCACCAATGCACCTGTTTACCCAGAACGTTGCTCTGTGTAAATTTGTTCATCTTCTTATTTTTCTTACAGATATCCACTATTGAGTTAGTAAGATCTTTACTATAAATATTTAAATCAGAAGTATTTTCTAAATTTTCTTTGGTAACTTGATTTTATAAAGTTATACAATTCTGCATGAAAATTTAGAAATATTCAGATTCCAAATATAAAAGCATTCAAATTTCTTCTCTCTAAGTAAGTTGTTTAAAAGTCCAATCTCAATGTAGCTGTATAAAAGAGAGTAAAAAGATTACTGTATAAAAGAGAATTTAAACTTATCATGAAAATTTATGAGAAATAAATTGAGAAATTGTTAAAACTTTGACTGTTATTTTACAGGTGTCGCAAATAACTGGAATGGGAAATAACGTTTAATGAAAATCTATGTTGCAAGAGAAGTCCAATTTTTTCTTAAACTAGCACACTGTTCTGAGATTACATTATTCACCAAATATTCATAAATCTTGCTGAGAATACACTGCTCATCCAAGATGATGGTCATGGTATTATATCTTTGCAGACAGCCCTCATGGGCTTTGCCACAATCAAATAAACCGAATGAAACCATGGCATTGTATCACAGTAAAAAATATTGTTACTTAAGTGAAACTATAGTTTCTGTAATTAAATTTTCAGTTCTTTCTGCTTCTGTGTTTACTAAAGTAAACATTAAGATCTCTCAATGTAAATATTTAATAATTCATTGTTAGCAGAATAATAAATTCAAATTTGTTGCATAGTACAAAAATGAAGAAGGACAAGTAATTGCATTAAGTGCTGCTTAATGTGATTGCAATTAATATTATTATTCAGATATTATTATTGACTTCCTAAAGCCCTTTCCATTTGTATACAAAAACTTGCAAAATACATCACTTATTGTGATCAAAATTATTGAATTTTATACACTGAAATAAAGTCTCCAAATAAGGTCAAACTGGAATATAGAATTTGCCAAATGACAGTGAAATATCATCAAGTAAGGGATTAAATCATGAAAAAGTCAGTTTTGATATGCATCAAACTGTGTACAATAGAACCCATTTTCCAAGTTTTATGAAAATCAGCTGGACTACCCATTTTAAAGCGAAGCTGAATTCTTAGATGGCTTTGCTTTTTCATGGCTGAAAAATATCTTTGCTCTTTTTTAAGCTTTACAGTTTGATGAATTTCTATTCTTGGAAGCTGTGGTCTCATCCTTGAGTCTTGTTTCT